GAATTTTGGGAATGATGAGGGCAACAAATGTATAGATGTGCTTTACACAATTGATCTATGTATTGTGATGAATTGTATGAGCCCCAATAAATTGATTAATTAAAAAAAAATATCTTATCATGGTGTCCAACCGATATTCCTTTCCTCGCAGTGAAATTGAACCCAAAATTTCAAGTGAGACCATTAAAATATGATCTTTTCAACTTATTTATTTAAAGTTAGTCATATAAGTGACTCACATAAACACAAAGAGGGCTTCACAAATTTTATGGAAAAATTCCATTATCTTTTAATTCAATTTTTCCATGAACTTTTTGATGCTTCCTTTGTACAGAATCATTATCAAATTCATAAATAGTTTTGTTCTTTAACTTCATAATTTATTTCAGCTTCCCAATTTCTCTTTCAACTCAGTTGACTTTGAGATCACACAAAAAAACAGATTGCCAGGACCTGACTTAAGTAGGCAAGCCCTTGTAAGGCTTTCCTTAGGGGAGAAATTGGAAACTGCCCCAAGGATTTCTTATATTTGACGGGGCAAATTGCCATGCTATGGAGGGGACCGCGTGGCAAGCATCAGTAGGCAGCCTCGAGTGGCCAAAGCCTCAGAAAAGTAGCTGCCATGCAGTCAATGCTGCCTCTTAGTGACCCGAACTGCTTTCAGGGGAGTCGAAAGCCCAGCCCTTCTCCCGAGGAGCTGTTGGTGGTTTCAAATGGCCAGCCATGCAGATAGCAGCATTCCCAGTACACAACCAGGCTCCCGAAGGTCTCAGTCCTACAATCCCAAATACCTGAATTCTGTCAACAGTCAGTGATTTTTCGCGAGGATCCTGGGCTTGTCATGCGTTAGCAACTCCTGTGAAACCTTGTTTTCAGCTGGGAAAGACCCTGAGTTGAGCTGTTTCTCCACATCTGACCTGCAGAACCCATGAAACACTAGCTGGGCATTGTTTCAAGCCCTCACCCCCACCCCCCCAAAAAAGCTAACCAAGATTTCAATGAAGATAGACAAGTGTTCATTTAGATGATGGAGAAGCCACTATACAAAGGGAGAGAGGTTAGCAAAACATGATGAGAACAAAGAGTGACAGTAGGAGGTTTTCAAGAGTTAAAGGTATCAGAGGTAAATACTTTTATATACACCATCCTGCAATAACTGCGATCTATGACTAGATGTATGAATTGACTCACAGGCTGAACGGGTATAAAAGAGAGAATGGGAGTCTACTCAATACTGTAGACAGATCTGTCAGAGGATATTTGGTACATGGACAATGAACTTAGCAAACCTATTCCTTTTTGTGACTTACACCTATCCCTTTTTGCTGCCTTGCATTGAACTTCTATTTACATCGCTCACAGTTTACATGTAACTTATTCCTGTACTTTGCCCACTCTCCTCACCTTTCAATACCCTTCTCGGATACCTAGGGATTCCACACACTGTTCAGATTTTACTCATATCCTACATTTACCAGAAAACCTCTCGTGATACTCCTGCTGTCTCTGAATTTACATAAACTTTTATCTGTATTCTCTTGCAATAGAAGTATCTTCAATCATTCACCTCAGTCATTAGCAAATGCTCATTAAGTTTATTTGTTTCTTTGGTACTGTTCAATGAGACATCTAGTATACCTTTAAGAATTTCTCAGTTTCTACTTTGTATTTTGATAACGTCTATTAAAACCAAAATCACTGCCATATAGCCTATTCCAACTGAGAGCACCCTTTGAGAGAGGACATGGTAGAACTGCCCCTGTGGGTTTCTACCACTGTAACTCTTTACAGGAGTTGAAAGCTTCATCTTTCTCCCTCAGAGCAGCTGGTGTTTCAGCACACTGATCTGGCAGTTAGCAGTCCAACACATAACCACTAGCCCACCTCCCAGTCCCACCACACCACAGGGTTCCTAGTTGATCGTTTGCACCAGTGTGATCTCCTGAGCTGACCAATAAACTACCTAAGGACAAGAATGCACAAGTCTTCTCTGTAATCCACAAGATAAGCAAGGTCCTTCTTTGCATATAACCAAATTCCCTGCCCTTGAGTCAGAACTGACTCTTAGGGCCCTTATAGGACAGGGTAGAAGTGCTCTTGCGAGGTCCCAAGACAGCAACTGTTTGCAGGTGTGGAAAGCTTCATCTTTCTCCCTTAGAGTTCCTAGTGGTTTCAAACTTTGGAACTTGCTGTTCACAGCCCAATGCATAACCAGTATGCACCAAGGCTTTTATCAAAATACATTAGATGAATAAATGTATTACATATGTAAAATAACAAATTAAACAGGAATGAAGGATTAGTCTTTAATATGAAGTTACAAATACTAATAGAGTATGATGAAATTGAGAGTGTGGCATCTTACACTCCCTTTGTAAAACAGAGGCTATAATAACTACCTTAGAGAATTTTATTTGAATTTAGGGATAAAATGTGAAAAGCGCCTGGAACATTATTGGTGTTCTATCAGTGGTAGCTTTTATAGCCATTTTAACATGTACATAAAAAAAAGGGAATGGTGTTATAGTGGGTATTTTTGTTATTAATAACAAACCAGGGTTTTTTTAAAAAGAGAAAAAACAGTAGGTAACAAAAGTAGGTAGCATATATGGTGGGAAAAAGTTCAAAAACAAAGACAAAAGGAAATAAAATAATGACAATCATCTATCCAAATAATAAACAGGATTTGTGTTACCAGATACCTTCGCTGCTCCAATACCCAGTGACACAAAGGTCGTTTCATTGCGCAACAGCTAGAATTACAACATTTTCACAGAGCCATTGAAGACACAGGTTTGATTGTCTCATCCATGGCTCTCCACCCTCTTCCTTGTCAGGGCATTCCTTTTTTGATTTATCACAAAGGTTCTGATAAATGAGAAGTGACACACGAATGCTAAAAGAGAGTCGGCTCTATGGAGCCCTCATACGCTGTTGAGTTTAGCTGACTTCTAAGACTAGAAGGGAGGGAGACCATCCTAAAGGATAGATTTTAGATGGTCCAAAATGTTACCCCAGCTATAATAACTTGTCAAATTATTTCTATCGAGTTCATAAGGGAGGGGAGCTGGGAGGGAGGGGGAAAATGAGGAGCTGATGCCAAAGCAAATGTTTTGAGAATGATGATGGCAACAAATGTACAAATGTGCTTGACACAATGGATGGATGGATGGATGGATTGTGATAAGAGTTGTACATGCTCCCAATAAAATTAT